GGAATCGTTTGACAGGAATCGCAGTTTAATGATAAACAGTAGAAAGACGGTACCAACAACAAACATTTGTTTCTTGGACGTTTCGGAATGTACATATTCTATCTTCAGCAAGCTATATTCAACAAGGTAAAATATTCGTTAAAATTTATAAAGTTCAAAGATTATGTAAAGAGTAATTAAGATAAATAATAAAAGGTTGAAGTAAATTAAAAGACAACCAATTAAACAAGAAAGAACAGGAAAGTGCAACAATTGTAACAACATTATACAAGCATTTAGAACAGACATAACTGTAGTGAAGCTGTGTTATTATTTAAAGTTAGGAGTTTATTTATAATAGATAAATTTTCTTTAATTAAATGTTCAATATTGGATGATCCAGGGGTGTTTGTTGTTTTCCCTGTGTGTGCAAATTGCAGAATCTGGATGATTTGGTAGTTTTTTACCAGTTCTGCTTGATACTCTCATATATTTACAGGTGTAATTGTCGTATTGTTTTGCTAAAGTAAGTGTCGTTATAGACACCACACGTGTATTTATACACGATCCGGGAATGAATAGGGGTAGATAATTGGTCTTTAGATCTAAATAGATTTTATATCTTGAAAGGTGATTTAAATATCATTTGTAGTTTAACTTGTGGGTAAAAAAGTTTTAATTATTCTTAAGATTTGTGACTTCACTATAAAAGTTTGCTTACCTAAAAAGGAACACTCAGTCTTAATGGGTATTTGTCTACAACATACGGTTTTCTGTGGGTTCAATTTTGTGAGAAAGGAACATGCGTGTTAAGGCTTGAATAAAAATTAAAATACAAGGCATAACCGTTGTTTATTCAAATATTCTGTAAGTTGGTGATTTCGGTATGAAGAGAGAAGTAGTCAGTACAGATGTTATATGCTCTACTAAGAAGTCTGGGTATAACTAAATATAAGGTTACGTTTAAAGGAGTTCGGAATAAAAACTGTGGAAACATGTATGTAAGCCTGTGTATATTTGCTTACGATAAACAGATATTGTGAAATGGTTATCTACTCTGATTTGGCAGTGTTGTAGTCAAGACCTTGTAGTAAATTTCACTATGAAAAATGAAGCAAGAAGAATAAAAGTCACATGCGTCAAACTTTATTAACATCTTAACCAAAATCTTTTACACGTTAACCCCACGGTCTTTGGTTTAATGTCTCCTCTTATGCAGAAATAATAATGAATGGATAAAAATAATAAGAAAAAGGTCAGAAAATAAAACAAGATAGAAAACTGTTCTTGTTTTTCAAGAGTTTACGGTGTCAGAGAATTCTTTAAGATGTTTGAAGCCGAATAGGATCAAATCAGATCTACTATTAGTACTAGACATGTTGAATATCAGGGATAATTGGTAACGTTTAACGTAAATACGTACACCAGCTGAAGTTCATGTAAACTTGTAGTGAGCCTATGCGTAATGCAACGTACAGTAGCAATCATTTTTGAATAGTGCATGTTATAAATGGTTTGGTCTGGATACTGGTAAACATTCAAATTTAGCCGGTCTCGTTTTCGAGATCTGTAAAACATCGAGACTTAATTCTTTCTCAATTCTCTATTCTTTCTTATTTATTTATTTTTATTGACTTCGTCCTTTTATTTTGTATTTAATTACTCTTTAGAAAATGTTTGAACTTTATAAATTTTGTACCTAATATATTATTTTGTTGAATATAGCTTGCTGAAGATTGAATATGTACATTGGGAAACGTTCAAGAATTAGATGTTTGTTACTGTACACACACGTGTCAAATTCTTCTTGTCGTTTATTCAAGAAAATGCACCCACAGTGTTTGTGTTTAGTGTTCTAATAAATATTGTGCATTTTGTTTTGCACTTCGTATCCTGCCCCCCAATGGCACAGCGGCATGTCTGCGGACTTACAACGATAGAAACGGGATTTCGATACCCGTGGTGGGCAGAGCACAGATAGCCCTTGTGTAGCTTTGTGCATAATTAAAAAACAAACAAACAAACTTCGTATCCATTCGTTATTTCATTTCACATCGACTCAGTTTATAAGGGATTTAGTATTACTTTGTAATCAATATCTTAAGCGAATCTACTGTTGTCTAGCGGACCTGTCCAAAGCTATTTCATTTTCACCTGGATATACCACAGCAGCATGCTCAACGGACTTGACTGAGGCATGGATTCTCCTCGACATATCTTGAAAGTAAAACGGTTTTTGCTAGAAAGGAATCGGCACACACTTGTCAGTAACAAAAACGAAATTGTTTTCGAAATTACGAAAAATCTTCGTATAATATAGATAAATGTGATTATAACTTTGTCTGTAAAAACAACTTAAAACCGAGAAAACCCTCATCTCGTATATCTTAAGTACTTTAGTAAAATTATCTCAAGAAAGTTTTTCTGGCCTTTGTATACTCTTTGTTAGCTTTCTTCACCATAATTACAAACGTAAACTTCCAAATTGCTCAAATATAATTGTTTCAAGATACTTTAAAAAATAATACTTGCATGGTGGTTAGGGTACTCGGCTCGCAATCTGAGGGTCGCGGGAACAAATCCCGTCCCCAAACATGTTTGCCCTTTCAGCCGTGGGGCGATATATTGTGATGGTCAATCCCACTATTCGCTGGTCAAGAGTTGACTAGTTGCCTTCGAAATTAGGGACGGTTAACGCAGATAGCCCCCTCAAGTAGCTTTGCGAAATATTCAGAACAAACAAACGGTACAATAATTATGGTTGAAACAACCACCTTATTCTTTAAACAAACAAAGAAAAAAAAACAGTAAATAAGGGCTATACGCTACATCTTGTGGGCAGACGTACTGCGGTAATTAGGAAAAGAACCTAAGTATTACTTGTTGGGTGCTAGGGCTACATGTGATATTAAAGCATATTGTTGCGTCATCGAGGTCACGTGACTGGTGTGGCGCTCTCTAGTTTCTAGAACTATCTTGTTCCTTCATGAATGCTCTAGATAGGGTAGTCTGGTATATATAAGAGGGGGACAACGTGACGCGGTAATGTGTGTGTGTAGGTAATGAGTAATTGAACTGCGGTCAGAGAGAGACGTATTGCTGAAGTTAACGTTCGTTCGTTATAGTGTTTGTTTTAGCGCGAATATTGAAATTAAGTGTATCGTAAAGTTATATTCGGAAAGAATAAACCAGTTTTATTAAGTAAAGACTTGTGTCGTTAAAGTTTCGTCGGAACGAAGTTACGGAAAGTTAATTAACAAACGGAGACGTAACAATATTATAGATAACTTCATCCCTAACAGTCACCCTTTATCTCAGTCTCTGACATTAGTCTCTTATTCAAAACCAGTTATTGTCCCCTGTAACTAAAGCTACCTTATTTCATTAAAAAATGACGCTGAAAATGAAATCACTAAATTGTAAAATATATACTACACCCAACTTTAACTAGGAATGATCTTTAACTGTAATATACCTTTTAATGTCTTTTATGGATAATTATGGGTAGTAAAAGGCATTTTATTGATAACAGCGAATAGATTAGCATTTTAGCTCAGTTCGTACGACAGTTTTATTGTTTTTATTGTCTCGTGTTATAAAGGGAAATAGATAAAGAGGAAGTGCTTGTATAGACCGGTGCAAGAAACAACATCTTTTAGGAAATGTCATAGAGAAGTTGTCTTCAAACCAAAAAAAAAAATGATTCCCGTCAGTTAATTATCTCTCTTAACCACGAATGTTCACTCGCAATAAGATGAAAAGAAAAAAAAGAGAGCAGATGCGGGGAGTGGGGGCATGCTATATAGAGGCCCTTAGCGCTATAATACATCGGATATGAAGGAGACTCGATGGTAAAATTCGCAGGGGAGCCCACGCTTTCTGCGCTACGCCTCTGAATGGGAACTAAGGTTATGACAGGCATGTGTGCTTTAAAACATCTAATGTTTAAATCAAATAAAATGACAAATAATCTATTTCAACAGGAAAAGTTAAAAGTGAACTGATGATTATGTGACACTTTTTTTATGATGTGGCTTATCACAGGACAGAATTTACAAGCATTCGTATCCTACCACAATTAAACTTACAACACAACTTTTTCACCCTTCAACTAATTAAACTAATATTTAGTATAACTTGGACAGTATACTTTTGGTCCTATCAAATGCAAATCGATGTCTTAAACCGTAGGAAGCAATTTTGGAGTTGTCAGGCTATTGCCACAACTAAACAATGTAATACAAGATGTGTGCAAATTCCACTACCGCAATGCAAAGCATGCCATTTTCTAGGGGGAATTGAGGGCATGCCTCCAGAGAATTTTTGAAAATTTAATGCTTTTAGATTGAATCTTGAGTCATTTTAATTACAAATAGTGTATATACACACAATGTAATGTATTAAATTTTTAAAAAAAGCAAGTTTTGATACAAAAGTTGTAGCTATACATGCTAAGAAAAAGTGGTCAGGCCATGGCCTGACTAGCCTTACCGCTTCTTACGCCTCTGCTATAATCTTTAGAGTCAGTATCCTAAAAATTCTAATAAGCAGAGGCGTCGCTAGGTGCTTAAAAAATTCAGGACTCGGGCTCATAGCAGCGGTAATTTTCGGTGTTTCATTATGATATCGATCATGGTTTTCTATTCTGATTTTTCAAGACAACAACTATGGATTCGGAGCACTGCCAAGTAGAATTAGAGCCAATAAATATAAATAATGAAATGCAAAAACCTGAAGTTCAGTGTATCGTGTCTGCATGTAACTAGAAATGATTATGCTATCAAAGTAAAGGAAAAAATAAAGAAGTACACATTCAGCAGGAAAATTAAAACCACGGTGAAAATAACTGAAGGTAAAATGTAACTGGTAGAAAAGGTACCTGAGAGAGAATGGGCACACATACAATTATGGATATGCCTAAATATACATATTTTGGTGATTAATTATTTTGTTCTTTTTGTTACGTAACAAATAGCTAATGTATTTGGATATACCAGAAGATGTCGCTACAATGCATTACACGTTTATGAATAATGGAGACTATGTGGGAAGAAGTTTTAGAAGCTAAACGTGCAAACAAGTGTGAATTGACGTTAACTGGTCAGTCGGTATCAAATAAAATTGAAACAAGTGGTTTACAAGTTTCTGTTTTTGAGTTAACTCATTTAAAATTTCTGGAGATTAGTAATACATGCTTAGATGTTCTTCCAGACAACATTGGTCAACTGGTAAATTTGAATCAATTAAGTTTAAGAAACAATAAATTGCATACAATTTCGAGTCACATTGAAAAACTCTCCAAACTTAAATTTCTAGATTTATCAGTAAATCAGCTAGAAGCTATTCCTGATGTACTTCATAAATTAACAGCACTCCAATCTCTTAACATCAGCTTAAATAAAGTGTCTTCTCTGCCTAATCTGCGTGGGCTATTCCATTTGATATATTTAAACTTTGCAAACAATAATTGTTCCCATTTCCCAGAGAGCATTTTGGATGAGAACTTCACCCAACTATCTGAAATAAGGGCAAACAACAACAAGATATCCAGTATTCCTGGGAATATAAAGAAGCTTCTGGCATTGAAAATTTTAGATTTGAATAATAATGCACTTGTGAGTGTACCAGGAGAGCTAGGAGATTGTCCTAAATTAAAAGACATTTTTCTAGAAGGTAATAAGTTATCAGACAAACGTTTGCAAAAGTTAGTAGAACAGTGCCGACAAAAACAAATTCTTGATTATGTACGCAGTCATTGTCCCAAAACAGTATCAGTGGACAATAAAAACACTGGGCAAGGAAAAGGAAAACCTGGAAAAAAAGGAAACAAAAAAATGGAGAATAGTAAGGTAATTCTTTTTAACACTCCTTGTGGTCTTGATAGTTTTATATGGTAATTCTTAATTTATGTTTATTGAGTAATATTTGTGTGTATATGCAGAAACAAAAAATAATTTTTGGAAGTTGGTTTTACATGTACACTAATTCGATGATGAGGAACCCACTTTGAGGCTGATGCTTGGAGACAACTTGAATGGGTAATGAAGAAAAACTTTAATATAAGTTTAACATAATAGCAAATGTACAACGTTTCGACAAGGTTGTACATTTGCTGTTATGTTAAACTTAAATTAAAGTTTTTCTTCATTACCCATTCAAGCCGTCTCCAAGCATTATATACACTAATATTGAAAGTAAGCAGGAAATATTGTAATACTGAGATTTATATTTTCTTTGTTAGTATTAATATATTTGTTACATCCATTGTTTATAAAGATTGATGAAATCTTGGACAAACTGAAGATACTTCATGCAGGTGACTCAACCTTCTCTGTGATTGTTACTACTGCTGTACGAGATGTACGACCATACATCATTGCTTGCATTGTTCGTCAAGTGAACTTCCAGGGTGGAGAAAAATTCAAGAAATTTATTGCAATGCAGGTAATGAATAAAAATTAACGTTCTTTTTTTATAATTATTAATGGCTGAGGCTATTTGACCAGAACTCAGTAAAGTAGTGAGAACTTTAAACATTACTTGACCTTTCAAATAGTAAAAGTTTCCTACCCATTTTGACTAGAGATTTATCTGCTAATGAAAACTTTCCACATTTGACCAGCAGCTGATAAAATTATGAAAACTTGTTTTGTTGTTTGATGAGCAAGTTTAACCCATGTAAAGTAATATATCATGAACAAAGATAAAATTTTAAGTGAAATATACTGAAAGAAAAATATGATTCTTCCGATGTAGCCTAATGCCTTTACTGTGGCTATCATGCTTGCCATAGTTTTGTAGTCTAAGCTCATGAAGCTGTATTTGAAACTGCCCTTAAAAGGCATCTTCACATGACAGTTAGACTTTTCAACTATTTTGCAGTTAACAGTTTTTAACTCTTAACTGTTGAATCAATATACAAATTTTTTAACTTTATTCCTTGATCAATTCAAATCAAAAGTAGTAAAAAATTCACAACAGACTTAGTTCTTCATATATGATGTACTTGTAATGCATGTATATTAACTTCCTTTTGGTTTCTTTCATCACCATATTTGTTTGTCACTTATGAACTAGATAATGGTTAGAGAGATTGATTCATATATTTATGTTATGTAAGAAGACAATGAGCTCAAACAGGGGTAGTGCCAGCCTTTTCCTGTTAAGGAGATGATTTGGCTTAGACAGGAAATTAAGGGAACTGCACCATACATCTTGTTGGCACACAAACTTTAGTGATTAGATAGTAAAACTTTAAAATAAATTCAAATTTTTTATCGGTGTGGGGACTACAGGAAAGGCTGAGGCACATTTTGGGGTAGCTTCAGCTCTAGCGAGCCTCCCTCCTATACCACCATCCATGAGATAGTGAGTGTTCTTTTAAGTTGTATCTATAAAAAAAAAAGTTAAAAAATAATTAATACTTAGTGTTGTCTTTGGATGAAATGCTAAATTGCTACAGTTTTACTTAAAATCCTATTTTCCTGACCAAAATTCTTCAGACTCGACTTCATGATACAATTTGTGGGAAAAGAAATCTTGGAACTATTGCAACCCATGACTTAAACAGAATTAATGGTAACGTCACTTATGATGCCCGACCTCCAGCTAGAATCAAGGTCAGTGAAACTTACATTTATGTTAAAGTATTGGTGAAAATGGGACTTTTTTTTTTACTTGTATGAACTAGTGTAAAAATGTTTACCGCTGTATAAATGTGTATGATAAGTTTATATTTTGTGTTAACTCTTTCAGCATGGGCTCGGTTCTTGAGACTGACCTCGTACCCATTTTGTCCTTGTTATAGTTTTCATGCTATAACTTTTAAAGTAGTAAGTGTATGTTAATGAAATTTGGCAGATTATTAGTAAACATTACATTACTTTCATACAATTTTTTCTATTAAGTCTTAAGGCTTGTTAAGCAATGTTTTTCTCATGCTTTTTTTTTCTTTTTTTTTTCACATGTTGCCTATCCAACATGCAAAGTAATTTACATTTAAAGATTAAAAATACTTTTATGTATCAGAAAGTTTTCAAGTTTCATATGAGAAATCTTTATAATCTCCAGATAGTTATTAAATGTTTCTTAAGAAAGAAAACTTTATATTTTATCTGTTATTTTCACTAATGAATCTCTGTATGGATTTGGTAGATTTGACCGATCTTGTAACCACCATAACAAATTAGGAAATAAATATATAAATTATGCCTCTTTCATTATAGAATGACAACAAATTATAACACAAAAACATAAATATTTAGACTAAATATCTTAAACCTCATAACATTATACATTTATTATTTTTATTATATTGACCTTTCAGCTATGCATGGCTAACAATACAGAGGTTACAATGATGCAGCACATGTACACTCATGTTACCGTATCAAATATTATAAAACTGACCTTTAGTCTTTACAGAATGACTTGTCTGGGCTGTGTTTTAGTTGACTAGTATTTTGTAAAATACAGTCACATTTCCATAATTATTATACATTATATATGTATATAGATTATTACCATTTAGAAATAAGTTCTTAAACTTATTTTTCTTAAAATGTAGAACAGTAAATAAAGAAGTAAAGCAAGCAATTATCTCTTCTAGTTACAACCTTTGTACTCGATTGTTGCTTGACGAAGGTTGCTAAGCTTTTTAAAGTTTTGCACGTGGTGGATATGAAACAAAATAATTTTTTTAGGTTTTATATATAAAGTTGAATATTCAAAAAAATCATAAATTACTATATCAATATCATAGAATTCCACTATAATATATCAAGCTTAGTAACAATGATGTATTTCAGTCTAAAAAAATATGAAATTTCAAGCACACTAAAGACACAACCTACCTCCTTGAAATCTTGATTCAAAAGAAAGAGATGGCATACTAACACATGAAAATGGCTGAGAAAGCCACTAGGGGACATTCTGAGCTTTTGAATGGTTATTCACAGGTTATATATTGAAGTAAGTGTATATAAGGGACTGTTTCCAAAAATGTAAAGGGGTGGTCTGGGTGCCACTGTGTTTGATTTATTACATGAGTGATATGTCAGCAAATAGAAAAGATGGGAGGTTCTTATTTTATATTCTGGCTGTCAATATTGTTAATTTGAAGTCCTAATTTGTACAAAACTATAGACTTGGTATTTTGACATCACAAATATCTAATTTGAACCAGTGCACCATTCAACATACCACATGACACACAAAAACTGATGTTTAACTCTGTTTTTTAATATTTACTTTTAAATTAAGTAATTAAATAATGTATAATACTAAAATTTGAATTATGATCAACAGTTTGGTACCAAACTTATTGACATAAATTCATGAAATAGTAGTTCAATAAAATTTTGAATATGAGTCAACAAACATGGCCTTTGACCCGTGACCCTTCTGGAGTGGGTTAAGAGACATGTTAATTGAACATTTAATAAATAATATTGTGTATGCACATTCAAGTATTTGCATTGGGTTCTTTATTTTGTGTGATGCTTTTTAACATGTTTTAATATTAATTTATAAAATATTCAATGCTTTATCCTAGATAAAAATAACAAATAATATAACTTTTGCATTTGATATACATATTAAATAAATAAATATTTAATCTTGTTTATCAAATCAAAAGCTAATTTTAATAGTGAAATAATTCTGCTTAAAAACAAGTTTGTATATAGGTTTTTCACTACAGGGTGTCTCAAACGTTGGGTACCATAGGCTGAATGACTGTAGATGTTTACAGAATGTGCTTAAAATGAACACCCTCAAATTGATAGTCTGAAAATGCATGATCCTTACATTTGCAAATGTTCAGTGCAATTATATAAAAAATATGCAAAGAAACAAGAAAAGCAGTGTTAATTTCCTCAATGACAACCAACTTTTGGACATACTGTATAACCATATTTCTGATTGTATGGTCTGTAAGTTTCTCCTTATAATTGAAATATTTTTGAACTTGTTATCATATGGATAGCCATTCTCTGTATGCTTTCCAACTATAAGGAAAAGTTTGAGGCATTAAAGGTAACTTCTGTGTATACTAGAAAAGTTAGAGGTGATTTGATTCAGGTGTTCAGATTGTTAGAAGTTTGAATATTCATCCTATTGGTGGTTTTAGTAATAGAATTAATAAAGTTCAAAATAGGGACTTGAATGGAGGGGTAACAACTTTAATTTTTGGAACCTCAAATTTCTAAACTAGATATTAAACTGGTTCTTGTAACTTGTATTTATATCCTTTCCAAAAACTATAATAAAGTAATCAATGTTATAAATAAACTAGAAATAATCTTCTTATTCTCAAACTCAATATTTCTATTGATAGAGCTCAGAACTTAGCTGTAATTGTTGATTTATTTAGGCCTTTCACAACAGTCACTCGTACATTCTTAAAGATACCACAATTACATTAAAGTAATATTAACACCACATAAAAAATTGAGCCATGACTTTGTTTTATTCATTATGTACCACTTCTAATGGAATTGTTATTGTGCGCATAATAAAATCATGACTCAGTTTTTCATAAATACTTCTAATATTTCTGGCTGTTGTGCATCTAGGAAAGAAGAAAAACTGCTGATTGTTGTAGCTGCAATTAAAGCATCAGTTTCTTCTCTCAGCTAGAAAAAGAAACATGAGCAAATGGAAATTACAAAAAATATGAAATCCATTTTCCTTCATTGATATTGTTAAACTTATTTTTAAACAAACTATTTTAGCTTGTTCCTTTGGGAAGAAAAAGTGAGGTAACTGCTGAAGAACTGTATGTTCAACTTAATAATGAAGCTGAAACCTTGAGAAAGGAGAAGAAAAAAAATGTCTATTCCGGAATACACAAGTAAGCTCAGTATAGGTTATCTAAAAGTTTTTTATTTCTATAAAGCAATATCAATCAAACAGGAATTCAAATGGATTTTTATTTTTAATATATTTATTATTGTTATAATATCTTCTGATCAATATTGTCATTCTTTAGGGTCATTTCTTCTTACTTTAATTTCCATATCTCGCTCAAAACAACCTGTGAGAAACCTTAATTTTTAAATGTTTTGTAACACTGTAGCAGCTTCTTTTTTTGCAATAAATTAACTTGCCTATAGCTAAGTTTTTCACCATGCCTATTGACGTAGACAAAATGGGGAGGGGGCAGTCATTATTGTAACATACACAAATTACTTAATTGTTCTCAGAATGAATATTTCTGTTTGGGATTAAAATCATGGAGTTGAAAGACATTATTAATATCATATCTGTGAAATAGCAGCATTGTTTCTTTTTTTTTTTTTTTTTTTTTTCTAGTTTACTGTCTGTACAGAAGATACTATCTGCCAGTATAATGCTAGTTGCTATTTTTTATCATTAAAGGACTTGCACTGGTCAGAACATTATCTGATCATACCATTACATTAATTTGATAAATTATTACCACTTATTGCTGTGTTTACATTTGTATTATTATCTCTAGATATCTGTATCTTCTCAAGGACAAATCACACTATCCCTGCTTGGTTGATGAATCTAGTCAAGTGATCTCTTTTCCACCAATCACCAACAGCAGTGGAACAAAGGTACCTCTTTATTTATTTTTTCATGTAGAAAGGACTAAGGGAAAATGTGGTAATTTTTAAAGTTGTATAGATTTTAAGGTGTAAATTTTTAACAGCAAATTGCTTACTGTATTTGGTGATGTATAAGACAACTGTGGATTTTTTGAACAAATTAAGTGCATTTCTCTGAGGTTCAGAGTGTAGGACGACCTCTGTTGTCAAGCAAGTTTAGGGGTGTTACTTTTGTAAAGAAATTCTTAGAAGTTATTTTTAAACTGTGCTAACCTGCACTCTAGGGTAATCAATACAACCATATGTGTGTGTTTTTATGCTCTTCAAATACTGCAGACAATTCAATGCCGCATAACTTAATCACAAACGTGTAATAAACAACTTTACAAAGTTTTCATCACAGTTGAACTACTTTTCTATTACAAAAAAATACTAAACTATAAGATACAATGATCTACTATAAAAACATGTTTATAAAGTTAGTGTACATTACAGAAACTTACTTTTTTTCATATAATATTAGCAGTATTTTAGTATGATGGATGAGATCAATACATTTCAAAGCAAAAATGCCTTGATTATTTGTAACTAGCATGTGAGATAAATAACTGCTAGTTACGAAGTATAGAGACAAATTATGCAATTACAAATATGTTATTTTAACGCAGTTGGTGGCATGATGTCAATGCACTTACTCAAAAAACAAACAAAAGTAAAAGGAACAACGTAGTTCTGGTTAAATATGCTATTAACCAGAGAGTTCTTACTGGAACTCTATCTTCGAACCTGTATATAAGACAAGGGGTAAAATCAGGCATTATTTTAAGACTAAGAAGTATCATCTTATACAGTGGCAAATATGGTAATTACAAACTATATATATATATGTAAGTATACAGTGAAACCACAATTTTACATGCCCCAATGTAACGCAAATTCGGATATAATGCGATGGGTCATTAACTCTTTCGACGCGGGCTCAGTCTCTGGGACCGACCTCGTAACCATAACCTCGTTATAGTTTACATACTAATAACTTTTAATATTTTAAGTGTATCTTTACAAAATTTTATAGACTTATAGTAAACATTGGAAACCTTTTGCACACAAAAACTCAGATTTTTTAGTGAAGTATTTTTACTTAAATTTATCTATGAAATATTGATTCTTTTTTTTTAACTAGTCTGAGTGCAAAGTGATTTTCATGTCAAAATTAAAAATACTTTTTGTCATCTAAAAGATCTCAAATTTCCTTTTTGTAATCCATAAAACCTAAATGCATTTCAAACGTTTTTTTTCACCAAATCCTTATAGTTTTTGTTATTTTTTCTACCCTAGCTCAAAACTGTATCAGTCAATTCGACCAACCTCGTAACCACCAAAAAAAAAATTTTAATTTTAGTTACTTTTATAATGATAAATAATGAATAGATATGAAAAACAAGAAATAAAGTACTTACACAATTTTCTGCCATCAATTGCAAGGACAGTTAAGCCTAAATTTTTAGTGATTATAGTAAATCAGTAAACAAATTTTATTTAATTAAATTATACACTAAAGTGATTTTATTGAACCCCGATTTATCGCGACCCCACTTGTTTCACGATGACATTTTATGGACTTCAATGATCGCGTTATAACGAGGCTACACTGTATTATCAGATGTAATATTTTAAGGAAGCTCAAGAGATTGTAATATCCTCATTAGTCTCTGTTTTGTTTAGCTATTAGATCAAAAGAAAATGGGAATGTACAATAAAAATTGAAGCGTCTATAAATTGTACTTAATTTTTACTTGAGTTTTCTCTTAGCGCCTTTCTGGTTTAATTGATTAGTTGATTTGTTTTGTTTTTGCAAAGTATTTGAAATTAATGAATGAACCTGAACTTTGACATTGACTGCATGATTAAACTAATTACTTCAATATTAGACGTTTGCAATAAATAACAGTTGACTTCCAAAAAATCTCGCAACATGCAATCATGCAACAAGTCACAATTCTTTTTTTTTTATATGAGATGAACTGCATGTGATTGTACAAAACCTCAAATGATTAATAATTGAACACTTGTATATTACATGAAAAAAAAGTCAAAATTCTTATTTTGATTTCTTTTAAGCTCAAAAAACAACTTGATCCTAATTTTTTACACCATTTGCAGCAGTCTTTATAAAAAGGAGATCAATACTGAGTATTGTACTCTAAATAAAGTTTAACCACTCTTGTATAACCTGACAATGACCCGTTCAAGCTTCTGTACACTGAATCATTTCTTGTACACAGTTTGACATTGTTTTGTAAACAGTTGAATTTAAAATGGATTTGTATCTAAGTCAACAACTTTTGTTACCATGTCATTAGACAATGCAGCTACACAGTGATAACCTCACCAAATTTTTGTCAGAAACCACTTTATTTATGGTTGTCAGAATATTTATGTCTTAAGTTAAATTAACAGAAATGTTTGCAAAATGTTACATTTTTCTGGTTAGTATCAAATTCTGCAAGGTCTACAATTTTTCACACCTGTGGGAGAAGTAAAGATGCAGTGACTTATCAGCATACCTAGACACTTTCAAAAAAGTGAAGGACTGGAACTACTTTCATTATATTGTTTAAATTGTGTGTGTTTTACTTGCCAGTTTAATCATCTCTCCAGTGATAAACAAAGAATTGGTGTCTAATACGATGTCTTAAAGTCTCTTTTTTTTAAATCAAAAATAAATCAGAGACTGTTTTTTCTTTATAAACTTGTATCATATTTATGGACAGTAACCATGTTAGTATTTTTTGGTAATAAAGACGTTATAGAAGTGATTTCATAGTCTATCCATACTAAGTTGTCAAGAACTGTATGCATTTCAGGTCACAGAAGATACAACAGACATATTTTTAGAAGTTACAGGATGTTCTTTGTCAACTTGTAAAGAAATCATGGATGCTTTGCTACAGAACATGCTACAGCTTGGATTAGGAGAGCCAGGAAGTCAAGATACCAGTGAGGAATCTACATGCAAACAGGAAGGAGGAGAAACACATGATGACAATGGCACTGAAAAAGATAAGTCTCCAAAGAAAGGCCTTCAGCTAATAGTGGAACAGGTGAAAGTGGTTGATGAAGAGGGCAAGCTACGTGTTGTCTACCCTTCCCGTACTGACCTTCAGCTCGATGGAATCACTGTTCTGAGAGAATGAGAAAAGTTTTTTTGTTATTATTTCTTTATTGTTGTTTTTCAAGTTGAGAAATTTAATCTGTTAATTTTTTTTTATTTTGTAAATTTTGTCTTCAGTGAAAACAGTAATTACATGTAATTAAATTTGTTGATAAGAGAGGCTACTTACTCTTGTCCACTAGGGAGTCTTTTCATCTACCCAAGAGCAGGTTAAGTGCTTCATCATAACCTTAGAAGCTACAGAAAAGTGTGAGCTAATAAAAAAAAAACTAAATGTACTCTTCTTGATTACATAAAAATTTGTTTATGAGTTAAAGTTATTTTGTTTGTTTTTGCAAAGAAATTTCTTAAGCTCAAAGGGTTATTCCAGTACATCCTGCTATCTCTTATTTTTATGGAACCATTTTTAGCTTCTTTTTTTTTTGCCTCTTATTATCCTTGTCTTGTCACTGTACTTTCCAATTCAAGTTCTTATTGTGATATGATTGGTCACCCAGCATAAAGTTGCCCCTTTTGTTGGGGGGGGGGGGAGTTTTTAAATTGGCTTAAAATAAAAAAT